GGAGGGGAGCAAGAAGAGGTAAAGTACAATAGATTCTCTTTTGTATATGTTGAGTTTGAGACCTCTCTGGTTTGAAATTTCCAGTAGACAACTGGTGATGTGACATTGAGGCTAAGGAAGATATTGGAATTGGCAATATGAGAGTCATCTGCATAGAGATGATAATTAAATCCATGGGGGCTAAAGAGGTCATTAAGAATGTAGAGAGAGGAAGAAAGGAAGAAGCATTTGTTAGTGGCTATTGTATAAATGCTTATTCCCTTCCCCCTGTTAAGCACTTACTGTGTTCCAGGAACTCTGCTAAATGCTTTACAAATACCTCATTTTAACCTTACAATAACCTTGGGAGGTAGGTATTATTTTTATCCTTATTTTATAGTTGGTGAAACTGAGGCAGACAGGTTAAGTGACTTGCCCAGGATCACACAGCTAGTTAGGGTGAGAGACCAGCTTTGAAGCCAGGTCTTCCTAATTCCAGAGCCCATTGCTTTCCCTCCTAACTGCCCCTACCGAGCTTTGGGTTATACCATAGTTGATTGATGCTTACAATGAGCTAGCTGACTGAAGAGCAGTCAGACATTAAAAGAAAAACAGGGAGAGGAGAGGTGGTCAGCAATGTCAAATTCAACAGAAGCATCCAGAAGGAGGAGGCCTGAGAAAAGACTATTAGATTTGGCATTTAAGAGATAATTGATAAGTTTAGAGAGCATCGTTCCTTTTGAGTGATAAGGTCAGAAGCCAGGCTTTCAAAGGGTTGAGGAGTGAGTAAAAGGTGAGGACGTTGGGGTGAGGAGTTCAGGTAGCTTTTTTTCTAAGAGTTTGGGCAAGAAATGGAGGAGAGATTGAGCGGATAGTCGAGTCTAGTGAAGGATTTTTGAAGATGGAGATTTGGGGCATGTTTGAAAACAGTAGGAAAAGACCGAATGGAAAGGACAGATTAAAAATTGAAGAGAGAGGGGAGATAATTGAGGGGGCAACCTGCAGGAGAAAAGGAGGAAATGGATCCATTGGTATATGTAGAGGGGCCGTCCTTGGTAATAAGAGCCACCTCATCAAAGACTGGAGGAAGGAGAGAGTGGGAGGTGATGGCAAAGGGGAATTCATACTGAACTGTCTCAGTTTTCTTAGTAAAAGAAGAGGGGAAAAGTAAGTAAGAGGGAAAGTCTCCAGAGAGTGTGGGTGGAAAGTAGGTGAAGAAGCTTTGGGGAATTGGAGAGTGGGATCATTTAGGGAGGAATAAGGATTTCCTTGTTGTAGTCAGGGACCTGTTGAGTTAGGGAACATAAAGTTTAGGTGTCGCCAGGCCAGCAGCACGTTCCTAGGCCAGCCTTTCTAGCAGCAACTAAGTAGGAGAGATGGCAGAGAGTAGTGAGAGTTTGGCAGGGTAAGAGGGCAAATGATTCAATAGTTTGGAGGTAAACTAATTAACCAAGGGTGGGGGGCTCAAGTGCGGCCCTTTAACAATTTGGATTCAGTCAAAGGGCTGCACTTGAGGACCTAGAGGGCCACATGTGGCCTTGAGGCCACAGGTTCCCCCCTCCCCCCCCCAGTAATTAATGACAGCATTAAGATTGGGAAGGAAGGAATTTAAAGCTAGAGAAGGGGCAATAGCCTGAGAAAGTACTAAAGAATTGTAGGTCACAGTGCCAGTAAAGAATAAATGTAGTCCAGGCTTCTTGTACAAAATGATTAATATGAAAATGTTTCACATGATTGCCTATGCATAACCTATATCAGGTTGTTTACCATTGCAAGGAGAGAGGGAAGAAGGGATAAAATTTGGAACTCAAAATTTTTTTTTAAACTGTTAAAAATTGTTTTAACATGTACTTGGGAAAAAATAAAATGTCTTTTTTTTTCTTTTAAAGAAAGTTCATGGTGCTAATGGGATATCCAAGTAGAGATACATAGCAGGCGGAGTGGAACCAGGGCTCAGAGGAGTTTGGGCATTCAGGGCTGGAGGCATAGTTCTGTGTATGGTTGGTAATAGAAGCCATGTGAGTAGATGAGTATTAAGTCAGTCACTCAATAAACATTTATTAAGAACCTACTATATGCCAGACATTGTGTCAAACACTGGATTAAGAAAGAAGGGAGAAGGATAGACACTTGTGAGACTGAAAGCAGCAGATGAACAAGAGAAGACTGGAAAGGGACATTCAGATAGTCAGTAGTATGCTGAGTTTACACATATTTCATTTAATCTCCATTAGAAATTAGAAGCCAGTTGAATTTTCTTATGCTGCCTTTATTTTGAAAACTTTCCAGTTTTTCTTCAAATGAACATGTAAAGTAAAGTAATTGAGATAGGTTAATATAATTTAGAAGACTGGTATCCAATAAATATTATTTAATACCTTCCCTAAAAAAATAATAAACTTAGGAGGAATAAGGGATAGGGAGAGATGATAGGAGTATATGGGGGTAGGATAGGAGAACGTTAGATTCATGATTCAATAAATACTTGTTGACTGATATATGGATAGGCCTGACCCATGCATTAGGACCAGATTTCAGTCAGCACACCCACTGCTCACTACTTAGTCCTTCTTCCTCCCACTCTGAAGCCTTTGTCCTACTCATCCATCTCTAGTTTAACAAGGCCAGTCATTCTGTCCTGGTAAATGGTTTAACTATCGAAAAGTTTCATATATAAACAGTCATTTGCAAAGTACCTCCTATTAGCAGAGGTATTTTTGAAAATACATTTTCAAGGGAGAGGGTTTTTTTTTTTAAGTGCCCACGTATGGTCTCCCTGCCAAAGAGCTTATTGTTCTCAGAATTGTCCTTGACATGCCAGAGATGGCATGGACAAGAGCAGGATCCACCCTGCATTGCTTCCGCTAGTGTCTACAGCTCTGTAGAGGGCTGTTTCAAGAGTAGAGGGGTTTGGGCATAAGGTGGAAGAGGGATCACGCAGGAATTATTGAATCTCAGCATAGGAAGGGACCCACTCTACTCCATTCTATAATGCTCTCTATGGTATGCCTAACATATGACCATTGAGCCTTCCCTTAAGCACTGTCAGTGACACGGAACTTATTACCTCATGAAACAGCCTTTGTTGGATAGCTTTAATAATTAGAAAGCTGATTTTTGCCTTTAGTTAAAATCTGAATACCTCTTTTACCCACTGAATTCCAAAATTCGTTTGATAATAGCTAGCATTTATATAGTGCTTTAAAGTGTGCAAAGCACTTTACAAATATCTCATTCTACCTTCTCAACAACTTTTGTTGTATGTAGATGCTATTATCCTTTCCATTTTACAGAAGAGGAAACTGAGGCAGACAGAGGTTAAGTGACTTGCCCAAGGTCACACAGCCGTAATCTAAACTGGGCCCTCACTGCAGGGAGGCAAACATTCTATTCCTCCCCACTTGATTCTCTGTCCCACTTTCTGCAATGGCTGTTCCAAACCAAACCTCACCTGAGGCCCCGTGACAACCCCTTACCCTACCCTCAGCCTCATACTTTGCCCCCCCAAAATTAAGGTCCTTACTCATCCCATTTAACCAGTTCATCACCAAATCTTGTCATTTCTACCTTCACAACATCATGCTCACTCATGTACATATATACACACACGTACGTATATGTATATGTATATATGTATGTGAGTATACATGTGTGTGTATCCCCTTCTTTTCATTCATATAGCCACAATCCTAACTAACCTAGAGTACTACAATGACCTTCTAACTGATCCAGCTCCCCAGTCTAATCCTTGCCTCCCTTCTCCCTTTCTTCCTCCCTTCTCCCTTATTTTCTTCCTTTCCTTCCTTTCCCTCCTTCCTTCTTTTCTCCCTCCCTCCTTCCCTCCCTTCTTCCTTTCCTCCCTTCCCTACTTTCTCTCCCTCCCTCCCTCCTCCTTTCTTTCCTTCCTTCCACCTCCCTCACGCTTAGAGACTAAGACTCTTCTGTAACTCTCAATGTCCATGATGCACTTGGCATATGTTACCCTGTACAATTACTTCTTCCTTTATGTTTATGATATACCTCTCCCTCTAGACTTTTTGTATGTCAAAGGCAAGGACCATTTTTTACACATTTATTTCCCCATTGCCTAGCACAAGGCCCTGCAGGAAGGAGATACTAAGCAAATATTTGTGGGTGACAGTGGTTTTAGATGGTGAGCAAAGCAGGGAAAGGTCATTAATAGAATTATAGAATTGGAAAGAATCTTAGTAACATTCTGATCTAACTCTCTCATTTTTCCTGATGAGGAAACTGAGACCCAGTGAGAAGAAGTGATTCACCCAAGGTTGTACATCAACATAATAGTAAAATTGGGATCAGAATCCAAGTATCCTAACTGATGCCAGTACTTTCTTTGCTATACACAGTCAGGAGCAAACATGGTGTGTATTGGACTGGGATTAAAGATTCGGCTTAGAGACCAGTTTATGGCCAGATTACAGAGTACCCTGAAAACTCAGGAGAAGGGTTTGGACTGCATTCTTTAGGCAATAGGGAGTCATTGAAGGCTCTTGAGTAGAAAAGCAACATAAAAGTTATTTTTGTCTGTGTTTTCTTTCACAACATAGCAAATATGGAAATATGTAATAAAAGTAATATTAGGGGAAGATTAGTTTGGTAGTGCTCTACAGGATAAGTGAGAGACAGAAAGCTGCTGATCTCTCTGGTTATTGATTCTAAATTGGGCTTGAGTAGAGATGGTGTGTACTCAATACTAATGGAAGCTTAGTTTAGTGATGAGAGTCAGAAGGCTTGAGTTCCAGTTCTGATATTTATCTACTGTGTGGCCCTAGGTAAGTCACTGAAACTCTGTGCTTTAAGCTCTTCATTTGTAACATGAGATAAAAATGGACTACCTCCCTCACAGAGTAGTTATAAGAAAAATGTGTTGTAAATACCAGCACTTTATACATGTGAGCTATTTATTACATGATGCTGTGATTTTGATTTGGTGTGTGTGTGTGTGTGTGTGTGTGTGTATCTGTCTATCCACATACCTATGCACTTATGTATCCACACAGATGGCAGATGAGTTGGAGTCTTCAGTGCGGCAGGGAGCAGGTGATGTAGAAGAAGACGATGACGACCTTGTAGATGCCAAGCCTGATCGATCCTCCTTCATATCAGTGCTCAGGTAAATTGTTTTATTCTAGTCTATGGAGTGGAATTAGCTCTGTATACTCTCTCTCTCAGGGATTTCACTGGGTCCCATGAATTCAGTTATCTCTGGGAAGATGACTCCCACATCTATATCTCCCATCCTAATCTCTCTTGAGCTCCATTCCCACGTCACCTACTGCCTGTTGTATATATCCAACTCAATGTCCCACAGGAATCTCAAAGGAAGGGGTTAGACTAAATAACCTCCAAATTAGGTTCCTTCCTACTCCAGATTTCTTATCCTATGAAGTAAACATGTCCAAAATGGAACTCATTGTCCTTCCCCCAAAATCCACCTGTCTTTCAAACATGTCCAGCCTGTTGACTTCACAGCATCCTTCCAGTCACCAAGGGTTCATACCTTGAATCCATCTTCAGCTCTTTCTCTCTTTTATACGAGCATCCAACTAGGTGCCAAATCTTGGTTCTGATGTACAATCAGAGTGATATGGTTCATCACATGTCATGATAATCTTGTAGTCCATGTACATGTTGTCTCCTCCGGTGGAATGTTAGCTCCTTAAAAATAAGGATTGTTGGGGCAGCGGGGTGGTGCAGTGGATAGAGCATCGGCCCTGGAGTCAGGAGGACCTGAGTTCAAATCTGGCCTCAGACACATAACACTTACTAGCTGTGTGACTCTGGGCAAGTCACTTAACCCCATTGCCTAGCCAAAAAACAAACAAACAAACAAACAAACAAAAAAAAAGTAAGGATTGTTTCATTTTAAAAAAATTTATATACCCAATTTCTACCTACCATAGTACCTAGCACATAGTAACAGCTTAATAAGCACTTGTTGATTGTATTAACTGATTTCTATTATTGGTAGTAATCACTCAGGTGTAGCAATTCACAGAAGTCAATCCTCCCATGTAGAAATGAGGGTGAATGCCAAGCAGTGTTGCCACAGCCCAATATGCAGTAGATCTGTTGTAAGAATCTATGATAGCTCCCAAGTGGACTCTGTCATTAAAGATCTGTTCTAAAGGGGACTGACTCAATAGATCCAGGAGAGATAATTTAAAAATTATTGGACTGTCTGAAAGCCATGATCAAAAAAAGAGCCTAGACATCATCTTTCAAGAAATTATCAAGGAAAATTGCCCTGATATTCTAGAACCAGAGGGTAAAATAGAAATGGAAAGAATCCACCAATCACCTCCTGAAAGAGATCCCCAAAGGAAAAATCCTAGGAATATTGTAGACAAATTCCAGAGTTCCCAGGTCAAGGAGAAAATATTGCAAGCAGCCAAAAAGAAACAATTCAAGTATTGTGGAAACACAAACAGGATAACACAAGATTTAGCAGCTTCTACATTAAGGGACTGCAGAGCTTGGAATATGATATTCTGGAGGGCAAAGGAGAGAATCACCTACCCAGCAAAACTGAGTATAATCCTTCAGGGGGAAAAATAGACATTCAGTGAAATAGAGGACTTTCAAGCATTCTTGATGAAAAAACCAGAGCTGAATAGAAAATTTGACTTTCAAATACAAAACTCAAGAGAAGCACGAAGAGGTAAACAGAAAAGAGAAATCATAAGGGACTTATTAAGATTGAACTGTTTACATTCCTACATGGAAAGATGATATTTATAACTCATGAGACCTTTGTCAGTATTAGGGTAGTTGGAAGGAAAAAAAATTTATATGTATAGATAGATTGAATAGAGGACACAGGGTGAGTTGAAGATAAATGGATGATATTTGGAGAATAAAATTAAGGAGTGAGAAAGGATTGTACTGGGAAAGGAGAAATGGAGAGGTAGAATGGGGTAAATTATCTCACATAAAACAGACAAGAAAAGGCTTTTACAGTGGAGGGGAAGTGGGGGAAGGTGAGAGGGCATGAGTGAATCTTGTTCTCATCAGATTTGGCTTAAGGAAGGAATAACATACACACTCAATTGGGTATGGAAAGCTATCTTACTCCACAAGAAAATGCGGGGGGGGGGAGGGGGGAATAAGAGAGCAGAGGGGATGATAGAGGGGAGGGAAGATTGGGGGAGGTGATAATCAGAAGCAAACACTTCTCAGGAGAGACAGGGTCAAAAGAGAGAATAGAATAAATGGGGGGTGGGTGAGATAGGATGAAGGGAAATATAATTAGTTTTCCACAGCATGACTACTGTGGAAATGTTTTGCATGACTATACAAGTATAACCTGTATCGAGTTGCTTGCCTTCTCAATGAGGGTGTATGGGAAGGGAGGAAGGGAGAAAATTTGGAACCCAAAGTTTTAAAAACAAGTGTGAAAAAATTGTTTTCACATGCAACTGGGAAATAAGATATACAGGCAATGGGGTATAGAAATCTATCCTGCCCTATAGGAAAACAGAAGAAGAAGGGGATGAGAGAAAGCAGGGGAGATAGAAGAGAGGGCAGATTAGGGAAAAGGGTATTCAGAATGCACGCTGTCTTGGGGTTGGGGGAGGGACAAGATGGGGAGAAAATTTGGAACTCAAAATCTTGTGGAAGTAAATATTGAAAACTAAAAATAAATAAATTAATAGACAAAATAAAATAAAAAAAATGTAAAAAAAGGGGAGGGGGTGAAGCTGACTCACTTGCATGCATCAGACGTCCTAAGCCTCAGGTAGCCAGAGATAGAAGTGGGCCCACCCAAAGGGGACTCATATCTGTACATCCTCAGCGGATTTGTCAGAGACCTGAGCCAGAAGTACTAGAAGACCTTCATTTCTAGTGTCTCAGAAATGAGGAGATGAAGGCTTGCTACCTATCTTGGGTTTTTTTTTTTAGTTTGGTGTCCTCCTTCTTCCTTTCTTAAGGAGTTCAGTGCCTGGCTCATGGTCTTTCTGCCTTTGTAACTGGAACATTTTGTAGACATGGGATTTTTTAAAGTTTTATATATTTTCCAATTACATATAATATAATTTTTAAGATTTTAAAATTTATTTTGTTTTTTAATTTATGGAATAAAACAAGGCATTTCCATAATATAGTACAATAAAAAATTTTGAGTTCCAAATTTTCTCCCTCCCTCCTTCCCTTCTCCTCACTTCAAGAAGACCATCCATTTGACATAGATTATACGTGTGAAAAAAAACTCAGACAAAAATAAACAATAACAAAAAGAAAGTTTAATAAGTATGCTTTGATCTGCATTTGGACTCTTATCACCTCTTCCTCTGGAGATGAATAGCATTTTTCATCCTAAGTCCTTCAGAATTGTCTTGGATTATTGTCTTGCTGAGAATAGATAAGTTATTCACAGTTGATCATCATAAAATATTGCTGTTACTGTGTACCAGTCTTCTTGTGGTTCTGCTCACCTCACTTTGCATCAGTTCATGTAAATCTTCCCAGTTTTTTCTGAAATCATCCTGCTCATCATTTCTTAGAGAACAGTAGTGTTCCCTCACAATCATATATCACAATTTGTTCAACCATTCATTAATTGATGGGCATCCCCTCAATTTCCAATTCTTTGCCACCACAAAAAGAGCTGCTATAAATATTTTTGCACAGATAGGTCTTTTTCCCTTTTATTTGATGTTTTTGGGATATAGGCCCAGTAAAAGTATTGTTGGGTCAAAGGGTTTGCACCATCTTATAGCCCTTTGGCTATAGTTCCAAATTGCTCTCCAGAATTGTTGGATTAGTTCACAACTCTACCAGCAATACATTAGTGTCCTAATTTTCCCACATCCCTTCCAACATTTGTTATTTTCCTTTTCTGTCATATGAGCCAATCTGATTAGCCAACACCAGGTGTGAAGTGGTACCTCAGAGTTGTTTTAATTTTCATTTCTCCAATCAATAGTGATTTAGAGCATTTTTTCATATGACTTGGTAGCTTTGATTTCTTCATCTGAAAACTGCATGTTTATATCCTTTTACCATTTATGTTGTCGACATGGTAATATCCTCTGCTACCCGATATAGAGATTCCCATTTATCAGCCTCTTCATCTCCTATGATCTATATCTTCCCTCCAGCTTCGCCACCAAAAGGTGGGATCATTTTGTGGATCTCATTATTATCTCTACAATGCTACCTCCTTAACCTCAAACTCTGAAAATTCTCTTTCTAATTCTAATCCTTTTTCCTGCCATTTCTTCTGCTGCCTCACCCTTTCTCCTGTCCTTTATCTTCACCATGGCCTTCCAACTCTGCACTCTCAATCTATCACCCTTTCCCTGGCCTCACTTTCCTCTCTTCATAGTCTTAACATAGTGGGCCAAATCACCCGCACACTGCCCCCATCTCTGAATTCCTTTCCCTCCTTGTCTTGTTGCCCTTCACACCCTGCCCATCTTCAACCTTGGGTTGTCTGCAATCTTTGTCCTAAGAAAAAGTCTTCTATACTTTCTGAGCTCCCATTACTTATGCCTCCTTGCCACTCATTTACTTATCAACCCCATACATTTAGCCTGTCTGACTCCTGCCCTACTTTCTTCAAGGTTACCATCATTTCTGGATAGGCAACATTCCGCCCATCGTCATGAATTTAGAGTTGGAAGGGACTTTAGATCTTACTGAATCTTGCTTACTGAATCTGGTCCAATTCCTTAGCTTTATAGATGAGGAACCTGAATCTCAGAGAGGTTAATAACCTGTCTAAGACCACCCAAGGAGTACAAGTGGCAGAGTCTGGATTTGAACACAGTTTCTTAACCCTATATCTAGCACTCTTTCTACACGACTTCTCCAATGAAAGGAAAGTGATACATTTCTTATCTCTTCTTTGGCGTCGAGATTGGCTAGTTGGACATTAATCATTAGGTAGAATGAGAAGAGAAAAAAGCCCAGAGGAGAGCCCTGAGGGAAATCCACGATCAGTAGGTGAAAGATGGATGATGAAATAGAAGCAGTGTGCTGTAGTGGATAGACAGCCAGTCTCTTATTGGGAAAGACATAAGTTCAGATCCTGACTCGTTGACATCTAATGGCTGTGACTGTGATCAAGTCACTTAATCTCTTGGTGCCTGCGGTTACTTTCTAAGATTA